GAATTTATTTAAATATATTTTTAAAATATTTTTAAAGAATTAACGTTTTGTGTTATTAATGTTTTAAAGTGAGTAAACAAAAAGTTGAGTGCATTTATATCCTTTAAAAAGCTAATTATTGCGAAACCGAATTGAGATTAGGAGAAGGTACTTATAAAGTTTTTAGCACGCGTTTTACTAGTGTTAATTATTTTAAAATGCATAATTTAGGAAAAGCTTAAGTTTAGAAAAATTTTATTAAGTAATTAAAATTTCGATTATATTTTATCTCACCTTTCATATTTAAATTGCCAGGTTGTTTATAGTAGCCGTCGAGAAGCTGCTACTAACCGCTCTCGCCCAACGACTAAAGCTATTTGACAGGATGCGACTCAAGACCATTGATTACCTAACCGGCTAACCACGTGGTCGTGACGTCATTTATATAGTTCGCCTATTATTCACCAGGTGGTACATAAAATCGCGCATTTATGACGTCGATGGTGAGTCTATAAAAAAATACTTCAAATTGAAAAAAAAAATGGAAAAAAATTTTTTTCCTCTTAAATTTTCAAAATTAAAAGTAAATTTAATAAAATAGTTTTATTTAAAGGAATAAAATAGATTCGGATTTGTAAATGGCTATCAATATCTTTAATGAAGTTCTGATGTCTTAATGGAGTTTCTAAATACCATTAACAAGAGTTAATTGACTTTAATTAACTTGGGAACAAAGGTAAATTTTGTTGCGGAATTAAGGGCTTTTTATAGAACGTTAATGATCACGTTTACTACAAAAATTTTGTTTTATTTTTGAACCGCATCACGAATTACCTTAAAAAAGCACCAGAATCATTTTTAAATCTCTAAAAAACTGGATCCATGCTGATAAGAAAAAGAGTCATTTTTGTTACAATATTCAAAAATCTTTCTTCGTAACTCCTCCCATCTTCTAAAAAATCTATAGTTATACTCGATTCTTTTAAGTCTAAATGGTTAAATCAAGAAGAATAAGAAGAAAAAAAGAAAAAACTAAATCATCTAACATGTTATTTAACCATCGATATTCAAAAACGAATTAAAAAATTACCCGGATTTCTTCGTCCATTGTTCTAGGGCAAGAGGGTAGAAAGGTCATCATCTTCAAGACTAGTCTTGGAGAAGAGATCTTTATCTATTCACGTTTCTTAAATGAAAAGACATATTTTAATCCTGTTAATAGGTTCTTCACCCTTTGGGTATCTCGTTAAATTTATAAATAATCCAATTGCTTTTCGATCGTGTTTGTGTGTACGAACCTAAAATCGAGCCGAGATTTTAAGTTAAATGTTTGGATATGGTCCAAGATTTGTTGTTAATGAGAACATTTCTGTGGTTTTTAAATTGAATTTTTTTTTCCTAAATAACCAAGGGCAAAACTCTTGATCTCGATGGTCAATGAGATTTTGAAAGATATTTAGAGACGTTTGGTTTCTTTTTATGTTTAACGTGATTAGAAAGATTCTGAAGAGAAAAGAAAGTATAAGACCAGGTGCAAGGATGTAAGAGGACTAAGCTGATGACCTACAAATTTCATTTTTTTTATTTATTAGTTGTTTCTTCCAGCTGGGTGTTTTGATAATACATCAATAAAGGTTTGAGGCGTGTTTTTCGCTTCGATGCTCTTTTCTTCGACTCATTTATGATATTAATTTTATAGAAAATAATCCTTTTATCAGTTACATCACAATTTATTTCGTGATGTAACTGATTTCATATTATTACTGTAATTATATATATTTCGTATACAAATGAAATATTTTATGCATTAGTTAGATTAATTTCTGTTACGTAGACACTCTATTATACTGTATACATGAATATATTATAGAATAAAAATGTAAAATATACAATTTAGACAAAAATAAACTTATAAATAATTTATTTACAAATTTACAAATGCTTAAAGATCTAATTTAATTTATTCATTTGTAATTAAATTTGACTGTTTGTAAAATCATAAAAATTTAATTAATTTAAAATTTAATATAAAGCACTTATTAATAAATTAGATTAATTATAATAATATTTTAAAACGTTAAAGATAAAGTATTGATAAATAATGCTTTAAAATTCAAAATTATCTTTGCTATTCTCGCGCCATCTGCTGTATAGAAACGTAAATAATAATATAATTATGAAATTTTGATGTAATATTTTAAAAAATAAATTTATTTCATAATATCATTTAAGATAAATTAATTTATTCATATTTGAAATTTTATATTATTTATGCATACGTTTACATATAAATAATACGAAATGAAATTTTTCTAAATAAGATTTTCACAAAGAAATTCATTATCCGTTTTGATAATAAAAATTTTAAACATAAATCACAAACAATTTTAATGACTTTTTGCATATAATCGAGACTTACACATGATATTCTCTTTATATTTATGATGTTTTTTCCTACCAACATGTCTTCCAGTTAAGTTTTTCTTATATAAATAGAACTGGGAACGTTTCGTACAAAATTAATTAGCTTAATGTCATTTGTTTGATGGAATTACAGTACTCAGAAATATTCGAATCAATTAATTATTCATTAGAATTATAGACTAAATATAATTCATTTTTCTTATTTAAAAATGAAAGTAAAAGGTATAAAAATTATTGAATCGCTTCGTATCGTTGCACTTAATGTTATTTGGTGCTAATGGTTTGCTTTTATTTGTTTAGTGATAATTTAGATCGTTAAGTTCTTGTTTTTCTATCGAACAAAAGATGAACGAGTTTTATTTTTATTAATTTCTTTTACTTTAATTTTTTTATTTTTTATCTTGTCCTTGGACCGGCTGGAGCGGTGTCTCGAAAGATATACTAAATATCTCCGGTTGTCGAACTGCAGTATTAAGTGGATTGACATCTTTTAAAATGTTTTTTTTTTTTTAAATTTAATTAATAGGAAAAGACGATATTTTCAAGTTTTGTGAATTATTAAATAATTGAATTTATTTAAATATATTTTAAAAATATTTTTAAAGAATTAACGTTTTGTGTTATTAATGTTTTAAAGTGAGTAAACAAAAAGTTGAGTGCATTTATATCCTTTAAAAAGCTAATTATTGCGAAACCGAATTGAGATTAGGAGAAGGTACTTATAAAGTTTTTAGCACGCGTTTTACTAGTGTTAATTATTTTAAAATGCATAATTTAGGAAAAGCTTAAGTTTAGAAAAATTTTATTAAGTAATTAAAATTTCGATTATATTTTATCTCACCTTTCATATTTAAATTGCCAGGTTGTTTATAGTAGCCGTCGAGAAGCTGCTACTAACCGCTCTCGCCCAACGACTAAAGCTATTTGACAGGATGCGACTCAAGACCATTGATTACCTAACCGGCTAACCACGTGGTCGTGACGTCATTTATATAGTTCGCCTATTATTCACCAGGTGGTACATAAAATCGCGCATTTATGACGTCGATGGTGAGTCTATAAAAAAATACTTCAAATTGAAAAAAAAAATGGAAAAAAATTTTTTTCCTCTTAAATTTTCAAAATTAAAAGTAAATTTAATAAAATAGTTTTATTTAAAGGAATAAAATAGATTCGGATTTGTAAATGGCTATCAATATCTTTAATGAAGTTCTGATGTCTTAATGGAGTTTCTAAATACCATTAACAAGAGTTAATTGACTTTAATTAACTTGGGAACAAAGGTAAATTTTGTTGCGGAATTAAGGACTTTTTATAGAACGTTAATGATCACGTTTACTACAAAAATTTTGTTTTATTTTTGAACCGCATCACGAATTACCTTAAAAAAAGCACCAGAATCATTTTTAAATCTCTAAAAAACTGGATCCATGCTGATAAGAAAAAGAGTCATTTTTGTTACAATATTCAAAAATCTTTCTTCGTAACTCCTCCCATCTTCTAAAAAATCTATAGTTATACTCGATTCTTTTAAGTCTAAATGGTTAAATCAAGAAGAATAAGAAGAAAAAAAGAAAAAACTAAATCATCTAACATGTTATTTAACCATCGATATTCAAAAACGAATTAAAAAATTACCCGGATTTCTTCGTCCATTGTTCTAGGGCAAGAGGGTAGAAAGGTCATCATCTTCAAGACTAGTCTTGGAGAAGAGATCTTTATCTATTCACGTTTCTTAAATGAAAAGACATATTTTAATCCTGTTAATAGGTTCTTCACCCTTTGGGTATCTCGTTAAATTTATAAATAATCCAATTGCTTTTCGATCGTGTTTGTGTGTACGAACCTAAAATCGAGCCGAGATTTTAAGTTAAATGTTTGGATATGGTCCAAGATTTGTTGTTAATGAGAACATTTCTGTGGTTTTTAAATTGAATTTTTTTTTCCTAAATAACCAAGGGCAAAACTCTTGATCTCGATGGTCAATGAGATTTTGAAAGATATTTAGAGACGTTTGGTTTCTTTTTATGTTTAACGTGATTAGAAAGATTCTGAAGAGAAAAGAAAGTATAAGACCAGGTGCAAGGATGTAAGAGGACTAAGCTGATGACCTACAAATTTCATTTTTTTTATTTATTAGTTGTTTCTTCCAGCTGGGTGTTTTGATAATACATCAATAAAGGTTTGAGGCGTGTTTTTCGCTTCGATGCTCTTTTCTTCGACTCATTTATGATATTAATTTTATAGAAAATAATCCTTTTATCAGTTACATCACAATTTATTTCGTGATGTAACTGATTTCATATTATTACTGTAATTATATATATTTCGTATACAAATGAAATATTTTATGCATTAGTTAGATTAATTTCTGTTACGTAGACACTCTATTATACTGTATACATGAATATATTATAGAATAAAAATGTAAAATATACAATTTAGACAAAAATAAACTTATAAATAATTTATTTACAAATTTACAAATGCTTAAAGATCTAATTTAATTTATTCATTTGTAATTAAATTTGACTGTTTGTAAAATCATAAAAATTTAATTAATTTAAAATTTAATATAAAGCACTTATTAATAAATTAGATTAATTATAATAATATTTTAAAACGTTAAAGATAAAGTATTGATAAATAATGCTTTAAAATTCAAAATTATCTTTGCTATTCTCGCGCCATCTGCTGTATAGAAACGTAAATAATAATATAATTATGAAATTTTGATGTAATATTTTAAAAAATAAATTTATTTCATAATATCATTTAAGATAAATTAATTTATTCATATTTGAAATTTTATATTATTTATGCATACGTTTACATATAAATAATACGAAATGAAATTTTTCTAAATAAGATTTTCACAAAGAAATTCATTATCCGTTTTGATAATAAAAATTTTAAACATAAATCACAAACAATTTTAATGACTTTTTGCATATAATCGAGACTTACACA